ATGCATGTACTAAGATACTACCGGTAAGCAAGAACGGTAAGGTAAGCAGAAGGACAACAAACAACAATCATACTCTAAAGCCCTCAGTAACCGCAAGTCCTAACACTCACAAGAAGAACCCCAAACCTTGAAGCATACTCTAAACCCAAAGCCCCCAAGCATCCACCGTAGTACCCATAGGCAGATACGAGAAACACGTCTTCCAATCTCAGCTGTGTTGACAGAGGCCCGAACGACATTCCCGGGTGTTACCTTGGCGGTTCCGGGCCCGTGTGCCCCTGTTTACGGTTTAGGGGTTTTGGGGGGTTTAGGGGTTTAGGGTTTAGGGGCTTAGGGCTCAGCGGTTTAGGGTTTACGGTTTGGGGGTTTAGGGATTTACGGTTTGGGGTTTAGAGACTTTGGGCTGTACTGCTCAGGGTCTAGCATCGATCCGTTAAGGCCCTTTAGGTGCATTGGCATCGATTCTGGAGTTACCCGGTTTAGGGCTTCCATGTTGAGGTGTGGAGTTTTGCGATTGCATCGGTTCATGAGTGTTGGTCTGGGCTCTTCGGGTAACCCTAAACTTTGGCTTTAAGCCCTCAGGACTTGGGCTCGGGGCTTCAGGCACCCCACAATCCATGACGTGCTTCGTCCGATGCTTCGCTCGGACTTCCAGCAGTAACAAGGAGATTTCTAGCATGACACGCACACCTGCATGTGCTTGGTTCACAACACTGACCCAAGTTGAATGTCCTCGCTCCCGATCCTTGACAGCAGCCGTTGCACAGCGCTCTGGTGCCATTTGCTTGTTAATTCACATATATTCACATGTCTCACATCAAGATCTGAGCTCATGCAGCTCATGCATATCCTACCAGAGTCCAACCTGAGTCTGGACGAAGGTGTCGCGCGGGAGTGAAACATCAAAGGCATGCAAGGTAACATAGAACAGCGACGGCAAATTGCTGGATCCTTGTTGTAGCCACTTGCAAAGCCCTACCAAACCCAAACAATCCCCTTCTATAGCCCTTTCGATGCACCCCTATACCCTAAACCCTAAAACCCTAAAACCGCAAACCCTAAACCCTAAACCTAAGCAAAGCCATAAACCTCCAGAAAGAGCTCCCCGTTTCCCCAAAGCTCTCAGGTCTAGACTTTAGGGCTCCTGCCGCGGGGTTTCAGGGGGGTCTGCCTTGGGGTTCCTTTGAAGGGTTTGGGCTTCTAGGGTTTTGGATTTCTAGGATTTTGGGGTTTCTAGGGTTTGGGGTTTTTAGGGTTTTTAGGATTTAGGGTTTTGGGTCCCCCTGACGGATTAAGGGTTCCTTTCAAGGGCTTAAGCTCTAGGGTTCCTTTAAGGGGTTCCTGTAAAAGGTTTAGAGTTTAGGGTTCCTTCGAGGGTTCCTTTAGAGGGTTTAAGGTTTTGGGTTCATGACCCCTTGATCCTCTGCCGCCGGGCCACTCGAGACCAATACCTGGCAGGTCGGGGCACGCTGAAAGAAGCAACTTCAGGGATCCCGAAACCCTAAACACCAAATTTAGATTGAGGCTTCTTTTCCCTCTCGCATGGCTGAGGATCTATGCCCACTAGCGAGGTTGAATAGAGACAATAGGGTTACAGGGCTCCCTAAACCCTAAATTTAGTGTTTAGAGTCAGGCGCTTCGGTTGAGGGTTTATAGGGTCGAGGGTTTAGAGTTGAAGGTGAAGGTGCTCGAACTGGAGACTCAGATCTTGGGTTTACGTATCCCCCAAAGGGCCAAATCACCCTTTGAACCTTTGGGGAACCATAATCTTCTTTAAGGAGCTACAAATGTGTATATAGCTGAAGCCCAGGGATGGGATATGAGCCCTAAACCCTAAACCCTGAACGCCTAAACCCCTAAACCGCTAAAGCCCTAAAGCCC